GCCATTTCATTGTGTGTTGCTGTTAGTATTACAAGTATTTGTGTACAAGTGCAACAATGAATCGGCGCTGGTCCCCGCAACCGGCCAAGTAAGTGTCACTTTTTCTTAAAATACTTGAAGTAGATCCATTCTTAAATCAAAATTATGGGTTATAATGTTGTGCAAGATTATAAACTTTTTCGGCATAACTATGAAATTTGGAATTGTTTCGACATAAGCTCAAAAACTAAGAAGGTGGGCCAATTTTCAAAGCTTCTTAGTTTCTTTGTGATCGAATAGCTTCCAAATTTCGCCATAATGATACCTATATGCTCACAAGTAATAAACAATAGCTAGAAGAAAAATTTCTCCACGGAAAAAAATTCAGGTCCGAAAGGGTTAAAGTTGTCTTTGGGTGAGGAAGAAAAGTGGCTCATCAAAAATGGATCCGGAAGCAGGTGAAGCTTGATCAATTGAGTGAAACGTAAATAGATCGCCTTAGTGCGCTGAAGATACAGTAGCGGTCAAAAGTGTTCGCCGAAACGGTTTTTCGTGCTTCTCTTTTTTTGCCAGAAAAAATCAATGGTGACCTCGAATTTTCTTTTGAATATCCTGATTCTTTAAGACTTGAGGATATAAAAACACTAGAAAACATAGTATATCAATCTTTGGAGGACGTTGCTCAAGCGAGAAAAAATAATGCACTGAAAATCGTTCGGAAACACTTTTGATTGCTTCTGTACTTTCTAAAAGGGGCCAGCTGAGCAAATGAGGGCATCAGATCAACGAAGGAAAAAGTACGGTCAGGAGTGTAGAATTATCTTCAACGGAGAAAACATCGGCTATTACAGAATTCATCCACAATCGAGAAAAAAGCCGAGACTCGAGTCGGGTCCCTTTGTTGGGTGACTTCAAATCAGAGCCATCTTTCCAGGCCATTTATTGGCAGCTGTGTGTCTCGATTGAAATTATCCATTGCCTGTCATTACCAACGAAACAAGTACTGCTAAAGGGAGCAAATTTGTCACGTTTTGAGCTCTCCTAATATTTTGATGATGATTTGTCGCCATCATGGAAGAAGAGCATCCCACTTCCGTATTCATAAGCGTTTCGACACTTAGCGCTTAGCACAACATTCTTTCAAGATATCTTTCATAATGGTGTCATGCTACCAATCCCACCACTAAGTACGACTCACTGTAGATTTCACATCATACGGAACCAATTCAACTGAAAGTAAAGGTAGTCTTAGACCTCACGGCAGCACAAGGATTTGATTCACAACTGGTCTTGAACTTCCCCAATCATTACGGAACACATCTGTGAATGTCTCTTCTGCTCTGCTTCCACTTTCTACTGCATCAACCTCGATTGTTATGATATCCAGGAGACCAGAAAGCACTGTGTTTATGGCTACATCATCCGCCTAAAACGGAGATCTCAATCAGCCTCAAGACGAAATGCGTACCTAGCAGAATGAAAATATTGAATCGTCCGGATAACAAAAATCAACTAAAGACTTTCATTTAAAAAATACGATTCCATGAGGGGCGTACCTCTTCCACAAACAGTGCAGTAGCTGACCTCGGAAAAGTGCTCCACACACTGTTGAGGAATCAGTTGGCATCCAATCGACCTAAAAGTTCTGGCCATCTTCCTTTATGATTACACAACTTCCACTGTTTCCATTTTACAAGCTATTTCTGCATTTAATGACCACGAACGTGCACCGAATTCTAAACAGAAATGATCGACTCCCCGATATCTTTCACCGTTCTAAGAGTTTTACGTAGTTGCAAAATCCGTCCTATAACGTAATGTCTCTAAGATCTGCAGACCAAAAGCACTCCTATATGAGAACCACCATCCAGTGAAAAGGTCGAGCCGTAGTTCGTTCTCGCCATTGGTCCCGAGTGGTGGCGCAATTCACGCAAGGCTTTTCTATTCACGAGTCACATGTGACTATAATGTAAAGACGCAAAAAAATCCACTGCCCGGCGTACATCACCAAACTTTTCGTCACGCATGAGTGCGACCGATAAGAAGATATACGGCAAAAACATCGCTTAGATATGCCGCCCAATAAGCAGAAAGCAACCACACCCTCAATTTTTGCCCTCTTCGTTCTCAGAGTATGACGTCATTCGCCATAATCTTCGAGTCAACGAGACTACCCGTAATCGCTCCAGCCCGAGGCTGCTACATGATTTCTTCAATCAGTTCACTGGTGGATAGCTTATCGAAACATTGGCATCACTATGTGTGATCGCTTTCGACCAGCAAGAAATCTTCTGATGTCGCCAGGGTAGACGGCTATAGGTTTTTCGGAGTGGGATGCACTCTATAATTCCCAGTTGGGAAAATGTGGTGCAAAAGATTGCATGGATTCATCGTATAACTTCGTATAATGTATTGGGCAGAAATAGCACTAACACGACAGAACAGCTTAATGCAGTTAAATACAAAGAAATACAGGGAATTATATTTGAATGCTCATAGCAATGTAATATTCTGCTTTTGCTCCCACGACAATTCGATCCTACTGCACAACCCACACCTTTCACTCCAGACGAGACAAAGAACTTAAATTTAGGACCCCACACCTTACTGTGAAACAAATCGTGCAAGGCACCTTATGTACCGCAGCAGAGACAATGTAACAAAGAGTTTTTAGATTTCCTGAAACACACTTGTTCAGCACCTGTCATTGAATAAAAAAAAAATCATGTAAAAAATTCCTAGGCGTCCGACATTCGATGATTCAAATTTAGGTAAGTGTATCGGCAGTAACAACGTCTAAAAACAGACAGTAGACATAAATAAAAAAAATCTTATTGAGCAATATGAAGATTTCCAAACATAACAGCTGATAGTTAATCACATGATCGGATGGAAACAACTCAACTAATACAAGCCACAACGAGGCATGCGCTACAGCACATAGACTTGACTACTCCCTAAGGAGCGTGATCTATTTGTTCATTTCATTCAGAAGGCTCGATTCGAAACTTTCTCTCAACTACTGTTGTGGTAGTTCATCTCCAAAAAAGAGCGGTCCTGGAAACTAACAACAGCTAGCCTGTGCCAGTAAAGCCAGAATTTCAAACTCAAGCTTTTCGAATCTGGCGACTGTGTAAGCTCAAAGATTGCTGGATGACCATAGAATTGATTGAAAGGATAGCCCTCCCATCTCGAATTGATGTATATGCAATATGTGCCAAGACTGTCGATAATTGAGCAAGCAGGCATTTTAACTCATTCGTGACAATGGCAGCCACCGGTGGCTGACAAAGATCTCACTTGTACAATGGTATCCAACCGGTGGCTGCCGTGTTTCAAATGGAATTTGGAAAGTTTTCTTTCCTGAAAAGAATCTTCATACCCTCATTCATCTATGCCAGCCTTGGGCACGGGGAATCTCCATCCACTCAAATTTTATTGAAGAAAAATCTCCTGACTCTCCTGCTAATGCGCAAACCGGCGCGGTCGCGAATGGGTTAAAGCCTTTTGAGTAAACAAACAGAACTAGCTCATCCCGGCGGACCGACTCATACCACGACATACGTACAATCTTTTTCTTTATTCGGAAGGATATAGGTTTCTATAAATCTCGCATCTCTGTTTCGCATTCTGTCCACACCAATTCCATCATAGGAACGCTGCTCATATTGGAATATGGCTTAAAATGGGTCCTACTCAACGAAGGAAAGATCAATCCATAATTTCATTTCAATGCACCCGGCGCCACCGGTTTCTCGATTGCCACTAATTTTCACATTGTAGGTAGATCAATAGCACGAGATATTTTCATAGATGTCTCATTCCGAAAACCAAAAGCCACTCATGTTCGGATAGACATCTAGGACAGGAACAGAGGAAAACTCTCGAAATCTGAACAGCGCTAGCTTTCAGAAAATGGCTCACCAATCGCAGATGTGCCTCAGGATGAGGACTTCAGCATTTGTACTGCATAGACGTATAAAGATACAGTAGCAGTCAAAAGTGTTCGCCGAAACGATTTTTGGTGCATTACTTATTCTAGCTTGAGAAACGTCTTCTCAAGATGGATACAATATATTGTCTAGTTTCTTATATGCTAATGTCCTAAAGAATCGGATATCAGAAAGAAAAATTTTTCGAGGGCACTATTGATTTTTTTCTAGCAAAAAAAGAAAGAAGCATGAAAAACCCATTTCGACGAACACTTTTGACCGCTACTGTTATGTATGTACGGAACGATATGTTCCAAGAAAAAATACCAGATTACCAAAAAACCTAGTTCTTCCAGTAGCTAAAAAAAATGTACCCTGTCATATCATGAAGATTTTCATGCGCATCGGAAGCAATGAGCGCTGCGCCGCAAAAAAGCCACAAATCCAGAGTATTATGGAGGAGATGGCACGGCCAATTGATCGGCTGAAACTGCAATGGACTGTTTTCCACTGAACCATGAACTTGTAACCTGTCCGTCCCATATGTAAGAGCCAAGGGCGCTCTTGTGGTTCTATCCCTCAATGGAATGAAACTGATGTAAAGCTTGTGAAAGAAGAACATAGATCAGAACTGCACAACTACCACGCGATGACTGTAAGAATCAATCTAATCGAATAGCTTCTGGCATTAATTTCACAATTCTATTGAAACACTGATAAAGCGGGTCTACATAGAGCAGGGGCCACTTAATCCCAGCCTAAGGAATCAATTATTCAAATACACAAAGTCTGTGTTCTCGCACAACTTTCATCAATGGATCTTCTAAATTTTCGAGCCCAACTATGAATTGCAATAAGAAGTAATCACCTGAATCGTTAATAAACATGCAATAGAATTTCAAAGGTTGAAGGATCTGGTACTGATGGAGGAAGGCACTCTGTAGAGAGCGTCAGCTATTCAAATCTTTCTGTTCATTCAATTCTTGCTTTAGCTGCTCTAGTTCTTCTGGTGTGAGGTCAGTACGCGATAGAACTGACTGTAATAAGTACACGACACTGAAGCAAGGAAGCATTATACGCAACCAAACATCACGAACGGTCCTCCACCGAGAGATACGCCGGTACTTTCTTACGCGCTTTCGCTGTCAGGCATAGCCGACAGCTCTTCTTCTTAGCCTCTTTCAGACTCTCTTTCTCTTCAAAGTTGTGCGGCAGCTCCCGCATCTTTTTTAATATTCGAGCACCATGAAAAAAGTTTTGATCAGACTAATACTTAACAAACGCTACTAGAGAGAGAAGCAGTATGGAAATACCTTCTTAGCGTCTCCCACTGCTGAATTATCAAGCAGTTCAAGAATATTTTTCGACTGAAATCTGCAGCATAGCGTCTAGTTGTCGGCACGCGTCGCGAACCGGCACCTCGTCAGGAAGCATATCGGGGAATCGCAACGACAGCCAGAGATACGTATCGAGCACCTCGTACACCTGACACGAAATTATCAAACAGAATAAAGAAAGCAGCACCAAACTTCAAAAATGTGAACACATGAGACTGCGTACTGCACGCTTCGTTCTTCCGCTATCATGAAGCTCTCCACGAGAGTAATGCCTGCCCGCAAGTGGACACCGCAGAATGTTTCCAATGAGGCCCTACCTCACAACATGAGGGCTGCCGGAACAAGAATTTGCATAAAAAGGTAGAGCCCATAAGCCTGACAGTTGCCATACAGGCCTTTAAGGGCAGGAACAGTACGAAGAAATCGTAAGAGCATTCCCAAAGCAGACGAGGTAATGAATCTCCTTTGGAAAGGGAACTGGATGGACGCCCGTACCAGATCGCAGAGTCGGATCGCTTAGCTGACGCAGTGCTCTCCTGCTTCAGGGGAGGATCGCCAGGCTAGCGCCGTACGAATCTTTTTCCACGAAGACGGGCAACACACCACCTTCCTTAAAGTGACAATCTTGGACGCTAAAAATGAAACACCATCAACCCTTTCATCTTTTGCAGATTTGATCACGCGAATTCGCAATCGCCGATGTATTAGGGTGTTATTATTGTGAAAGGCCGCGACAGTGGCACGGAGACCTGCTGGAACACAATTACATGAAGAGAAGTGCAGCGGACTTCGAAGCAGGGTAGGGGTTACAGAGCCCAAAAAAGAAGTAGAAGGGTGCTATCAAAGAGGCCACAGAGTCAAGCAGCAACCCGGTAGCGGTTGCCTCGAATAAGGGAAAATTGCCAGATGTTGCTTGCTGAAGAATTATGATTTCCTGAGACTAAGCCCACTTCCCTTGTAGATATTGGCCACAACACTCGCCAACGTCATCCCATACTTGCCAGCTAGCTACTAGCAACACGGTGACGCATGTCCTTAACTCGCGTAAGCACAAAATAATGAATTGTGGAGCTCGGAGAGGAACCTTCAACACTGCGCATAAGCATAAAATAATGAATTGTGGAACTCGGACAGGAACCTTCAACACTGCGTAATCTTCTGTTTAGCACCTTCCTACTACCCACCGATCAAACTGCGATACGCCAACTGAAAGACGTAAGCTGGGATGACCAGAAGCACTTAAATCTTTCTTTCGCTTCCTGCTGAGTTCTGAGCAAAAGGCAGGGATCAGCAGCCGGGCGCTGAGAGCAAGCGATAAGAAACGAGCAAAATGATCTGTGTCGTGTTGAAAATGCAGCAAATGAATTCCAAAGTGTGCTCTGCAGCAAGAGAGATGTAGCAACCTTATAGTTTACAGAGAAATTAGAGGGCTTACTTGCCTAAATTCAATTGAAGAAACCTTGCACACTAGTAATAGATGATAATATCAAACCTTTTCCAGATGTTCTAATTGTTGAAGATTCTCAGGTTGACCTATTGAATCCCAGTCCAACATGTCCATTATCCAATCATAAGTTAAACACTGGCCAGATGAAAACCTAGAAGAAAAACAAAGTTGACCTTGATCTTGTACAGTAGCAGATTCTGTAAAAGAAAAGTAATAACTCGACCTTCGCACCATTTTCACAAAAGCGGCGGCTGTCAGTTTACTTTCAACGTTTATTGGCGAGATACAAAAAGTATACCGGACCTGAAAATAACAAAATAAACGAACTGCTACTCTCTCATGAACAAGTGAACAAAGAAAACTGACTTTCAGTGGAAGAGGTATGTAATCAATCAAATCGGCAAGTGACCTCATTTGCTCCACGGTGCAAATGAAAAATTGATCGGATATTGAGCAAACTAGAAATAGTAAAGGTAAAATGAGCGCAGGCCAACAGTTCCAGAAGGAAGAAAGAGCTCACAATAGACTACGATGCAAACGCAAAAGTTCTTCCAAAGTTATAACAACAGGAAGATTTTGAAAAAAAAATTCTCATCACCTGAAACGAACAAATCCAGTAGGTGCACGAAAGACGCCTGCGGTAGATGAAAGGAGAATGTTTCGATTTGTTCGAACGTTGGAGCAATACCAACCGTCTCGATGGGTTCAACCTGTAGATGAAAGTCGATGGATGTATCAAAGATCGCTATAGAGTAGGTTAACCGACTGGTTGACTAAGTATCTCCCGAAGTGTTCCAATGTCTTCATTGCGAATACAAAATATATCAATACCTACACACATTGAAAAGGCATAATCGGAAAAGAGCGAGAGCACAACGTATTGAAAAGTGAAAGAGGGAATACGGTGAAGACTTGCAAGGAAAGAGAGGAAGCACAAAGGAAGGTAGACGGTATGGAAATCAGGAACCATTGCTTGAAATTTTAATGACTGAATTAGGAGCGATCAGGACTGAATACGTGAGTTGCCCGAACGAATAAGTTCCGACAGGTGCCTTGTGAAAGTAGAGTTGATTGTATCACTTCATTGCGCTTTGCGTCTTTAAGGTTGAGGCTATTTCTCACGCTAACCATAGGGCTGGAGTCAGAGTACGCGATCAGCCACTACGAGGTGCTCTCCAATCCCGTTGCGATTTCTGCTCGATAGTGAGGATTGAATGACGATGTTCATGACCCTACCTGCTTCGCAGTGAGTGTTTCGTATGATCAATCGGGGTACTTGCGATTTTTGCGAATCGCATGACTTATCGAGACACTGAGACCAACTTAGAGTAAGAGCGGCGTTGATAACACGCAATCGACCATTCAGAGCATAATTCTCGTTAAAGACTAGTGAAGTTTCTTACAAGCTGGATACTTTATCCAATTTCTTACGCATAGTCAGTGATTCTTTCACCCTAATACGCCTATTCTCTAAGCATAGGTAAAATGTCCATGCCTTGGCTCAGAATCGTTTCTTCGCACCATTAAAGTGACCCACCCGATGCTTATCGAAATCATATCGCATATCTCAAATTAGACTGCAAAGTTCAATCACTTTCGGAAGTTAAAATATTATAGTAAATATATCGCAAACATCAGGGGCTAAACCCTCTTCGAGAAAGCTCTCTTTAGCAACAGTCTGGAAATGAGAGTGAGTAGATCGCTGAGTGTCATTAAGAAGATAAGGATTAACATTGCGCGATAGACCTACAGAGAGAGTTGATTGGTGAAAGCGACGACAAACTGAAATCATGCTGAATGAGGAAATAAACTATGCTTTTCTCCTTGAAAAGCAATGCTAACCTTCCAGCTCTGCCCACGATCTGGAGAGCGGAGTAATTAGGTAGTAGCTCCCCTTGTCTGGTACATGATGCCAAAATTATTCGACGAATATTCAGGTTGAGACCCATTCCAATTGCGTCAGTAGCCACCTGAGATAATTACAAAGTGATGAATTGATTTTCCACCAAATAGTGGAGACCACTACACATACCAAAACATTGCAAGGATCATTAGGGTCGTTGAACTTTGCAGCTTGAGCAAGTTTTGTGCCAGGCGGTAGATCCCCATAAATGACAGCAGGCTTCACTCCCAATTTTTCAAGGCTTTTAGTGATGCTGTAGATTGCCTTACGGCTAAAGCAAACGATACAGTCACCAGGTTGAACCTTAAAAGTAAGATATTAATCTTCATTCCCTTTCTTTTGCTGCATCAATGTTTACGCACGTTATCCAGCGATCCCAGTCCTTGATTCGCTATCGTTAACGACGTCTTTCGCTCGTAGTACCGCACCTAAAAAATCCAAATAAAAACGAAAATGTGAAAGTCCAAAGAACTCTTTTACAACACCCTTGCAGTCAATCAGTGTTCCGGTTCAGAAGCACAGGAACAGGCGCTGAGTCAATATGAAGAAGTAAGAAATCAAGGTCATGTCTCTACGATTTCAAATGAGGACTCATTCTTCAATCTGATCATCAGGTTCTAAGTTTTCACCGAGTATTATGCGTTTGGAGGGTGAAAGTGGTGTAGCGGCATGTGGCTACATTACTTCCACCCTGGTGACAAAATAATGGAAGGGCCATTTTGACGATAACCGTTTCCATCCCTCTGGGATCTGGTAACTGGTAATTTTCGCTTGTAGAACAGAAACACTGATCCTGTTTTCATTTGCTTGTTTCTCGTTAACCCTAAGTAGTTGTGTCAAATTGACTCAAACATTGCCAACGATTCAAGACAAGTGGAATGGTGGGCGGCATCAAAAGGGATTGAAATTGTTAAATGCTTTATGTTTTTAGTATACTTCTGCTTGTTTTTCCATTTTTACCTTTCCTAACAACGCTAAAAAGGAATCACCATTGAATGCAGGAGTCAAGCAAACAAAGCAATAGGATAACGCTGAAAAAAAAAAGTTGAAATAGGCCAACACACGGCGTTAACTAAGGCCATTTCCGTTATAAACCTGTGGAAATGTAAAAAAAATGTTTTATATCTTAACTAGTTAACAGTGGGAACAAGCTAGGATTCGTGAGCTGGAGTGTGCTCTTTCCGTAGCGATTCATACGGAGCAGCTGTGATTTCTAGGGCCACATGCTAAAGTCATCGCATCAACGTGTTGATTATAGCGCGTTTTTTGATCAGAATAGTGACAATAGCGCGAGTGTTTAGAAAATTTGGGATTAAAATAGGCAGAATAGTACTTATGGTAAATCTCTGGAATTTTTCAGCGTCGAAGGTAGCACGACTCGGTAGAGACACTGCGCTGTTGAGGTATAGGGTAAACGCCAGTCATCGTCTCGTTGGAACAGGTACGCAGACCTCAGCTCACGCTCGCGTATGATAAGAATGGTCTCGCGTTCGCGGAGTTTATTCATGGATGCGACTAGAATTCGCTTGGGCGCATGTCGTATCGCGAACATTTACCATACACTGTGAGTTGGAAGTGTCTACGACCTCATTCCGAGAAGTGATGCGTTTCTACAAAAATTCTTACGGAGACCGCGCTTCAAGATACCGCCGATCTGCATTTATTGAAGCTCATACGGTCCAGATGGTCTCAAAGTTCTAAATATTTAGTTGTGATTTTCAGATGCTTCGAATAAAGGACGATTCGACAAGCAGCTTTTGTGGAATGCCTTTCACTTATATCCTCTGTGGTTTGGTTGTCCTATATAACACACTATGCCATCTATCTCAGCTTCTTACTACCATCAAGATACACCTGTTCTGAGTTACAGTCTATGCTGATGGTTACGATGTATGCCGACTCACAATATCACAGAATGGTCGAAATGGTTCATAAATGTGTTTAAAGGTTATTCTTTTATGTCGCGGTTCTCTTTTTCCGTCATATCCTATCCTCTCACGTGTACGACGATTTTCTATGGGAATATTTTGCGGATTCGTTGCAATGGGTAGTGCACGTTATCCTACAGCAAGCATTGAAAAAGGCTGCTTGGTTGATTTGGCTTGACCTGGATCAGATTCTATAAACTATGCAATTTTCGATGCCCCGGTAATATGCATGATAAAAAATAAATATAAAATGAAAAATGTCTTCGATAACAGACTAGGATAACCAACCTCAACGTGCTCTCCAATCGGCTCTAGAAGCTTTTTTACTATATTAACAGCAGCTGCTTCACCACAAAGATGCACCTGAAGCACACACTAACAATAAGTTCGGCTACGATCATGCATAATAACATAAACACATACGCACCTCGTCCGCCGCAACACCAAGTAATGCTCGTGTCCATGCCCATCCGCGCTGCTCGTCTCGTAGCATTTGGATCTCATCTATGACAGCTACCTGAAGCAGAAATACTTTTACAATTCGTTTACTGTTGCATTACGCCGAGCAATGAGTAATCTCTCCTACTGGCAGCGATATTCAAAGAACGATAACTTTCTCGACAACCAACTGTAACGAGCACAATAACAACCTCAGCTGCCCAATCTTCGCAACTGATCGATGGATAGAGCAGCCTTTCAGTCATGTGCTGCCGTACAAAGAAGGGGTGGACGTTTGTTTGGATGTTCATGAAATCATAGCTCTTCTCCTTTAGGAAAAAGGTAGGAAGTAATCGTTGGTGCCGAATCACATGAGGAACGAGGGTAGGGTGGGAGCGCGGAGCCAGATTCCTATATTACTTTTTTAAAGCTTCCTTCACAAGCGTAGTTGATTGTCCGAAATCAGAAAATTTTCATGCATAGGAAACTGCAACGTTGCGATTGGTTGCAGTTACAAGCTGTGAGCAGTGGCCGTCTGAATCAAGGACGGCCCTATTCTTGGAAGTTTGCAGCAATGAGCTCCATGAAACGAAGATTTGTTCGAGTGTAAGTAACGTTTCGACTACAAAACAGCGTACCACTTTTCGCCCTTTTATGTGAGTTTACCAGCCACTCGGTTGTCTTTACTCAATGTGTGAACATCAAGGTTTTCCAGATTTCCGCAAATTGAGACCACCTAGCTGGGTGGGCTCTGTGATCACAGCCTGTTCAACTTGTCACTTGAAAGGTACGTCGGGAGCGTGAGCACACTGTATGCCTACTGCAAACCAACGAGCACTGACTTACAGGTGGTCTTCAAGATCTTGGACCGGTGAATTAATACGACCCTTGGTGGCAGCTTAGTGTGAAGATTGATAGTGAACGTCGCTGACCGAGCGGTAAAAGGAGGATACTAGAAGAAACCAAAAAATTTCTATACATTCCCCCCTCCCAAAAACGAGAGGGGAAAAGTCGATTAAGTAGCATGATCCCCCCATTTTTGTAATTATTACCGTCACAACTCAACTCGGTTCTACATAGTAGGGTGGTGCTTTAGGCTCGCTTTCCTTATCTAGTCAATTTTGATTAACACCCTAAAGTGAAACTTCTGGCGATTTATTGACTAACGATTTATCTTCGCCCAGGCAGATATTTTCATCCGGGACCAATTCACCAAAAACTTCGACAATATAATCAAAATCCTACCTCCACTCTCATCTGTGTAGACAACATCTCAACAGTGGAAGAGAGGTGTGCACTTGGGTGGAAATTGTCAATGGCATATCTAGAAGTAGCCAGCCAAGTGATCACAGAAAGTCAAAAAAAAAAGTTCGAGCGACCCACCTTCGTTCCTCACCGGTCACCAAATCGCACTTGATACCCAGTTCATTACTTCTTGTAAACACTTCCGAAGCCAAGAGCTTGAGAGGTCCGCAATACACCCCACTCTTGGCTTCCCCAAACCTAGAAAAAGTCGTGTTCAATAGTAGCTAGAACAAAGAATTTGTAATTTTGAGGTCTGGAATCTCACCGTTTCAATGCATGATAAGTCTTCCCTGAATTGGTCGGCCCAGCGTGGAAAATTATCTTCCGCTGGACAGTACGAGCGTCAGGGTACCAGTTGTGAGGTTGAGTTAGATCAGAAATCATTCGTAAATCATCCATAGCTTCCAAATGTGGGAAAACCTGGAA